GTCGAGTCAACTACCAGAGATGGTGGATGATATAATAAAGTAAACTTAGAAACAGGATTGGGAAAGATGGAGTTTTTTAGATGCATTAACTCAATAAAATATTATTTGTGTAGCACATTTCATACAAAATTAAACTCAGTATGCTTGACAGAAGAGAAACAAAAACAAACACAATACAATACGGTTGATTTCCAGGTCATTGATCACATAGTGGCAGTTTCAGTGCTGCGGTTTGCTCTGTAACCTGATTGGTACAGATCACACAGACTGTGAATGGATGGTAACCGTAATTGTTTGTAGAATTTGACTGAAGGTTGGAGATTGGTCTGTAGTTGGTAATGATTGATGGGTCAGGTTTGTTGTTTTTATTAGTAAAGAAGTAACTGTAGCAGGTTTTAGAGAAGTGGGAAAAACCAGTCTGAAGAGAATCATTTACAACATGATGTAAGTCATGTAACAGGCTGTGAGGGACACATTTACACAGTTTTGTGGGAATAGGGTCAAGAGGAGAGGTAGAGGCAGGCACTGTACAGTACTAACTTGGACACATGTGGGCTGATGAGAGGAGCCTGATAGCGGGGAATTGCTTTTACATGATTTCAAAGTGTAAGTTCTTATGCTCAAGATTTTTTTTAATTTTTTAATTTTTCTTTATTTTGCAACTAGCGACCTCATTACATTTATTCTTAGAGAGTAATTCCTCAGAATTTGACCTATAAGGATTTAATAGTTTACTAACTGTGAAGAAGAGATAGTGAGTATCATTTGTATAGTAATTTATCATTTTTGAGATGTGTTGCTGTTTTGACATTTTCAGTTATTTTTTTCTGACAGGTCAGTATACTTTTTCTAGATTTAAAAATATATCTGAAGCTTTTAATCTCACCATTTTTGTTCAGCCTTTCGGAGATTTTGAGCATACTCACTTGTTCCCATTCCTCCAGGAGTCTTTGTTTTTTTTGTTTAATAGTAGACTTTTCTAGTCTTCTGACTACTCAAAGGCTTTTTACACCTCAGGTCACATCTATTCATTCACACACTGATGACAGAGGTCGTTATGTGAAGTGATCATCAGAAGTAACTAATCCCATTCATACACATGCATACGGCAGCAACGAAGCAGTGGGAGAAACTTGGGGTAAGTGTCTTGCCCTTGCCCACATGTGGCTGCAGGAGCTGGGGTTCAAACCCCCGACTGTCCGGTTGAGAGACGACTCGATCACTGATCCACAGCCGTGTTGTTTTATTGGCTTTTGATGGGAGCAGTGCTGCCAATGATTTGACTAACAACAGAGTTAAATTGGCCCTCATCTCATCACATGATGACATGATTATGGTTCATGTATTAATATACATATCAGTGGTATTGTCATTAATAGAACGCGTATTTGAAATGATAACCACATTGTCATGTCTTGGTTTGCAGGTCATATTAAAAAAGATGCAGAAGTGATCTGAATTGCAACATCGAGAAAAGCAGTAACCGTTATTACTTTACTGTGTCCTTTAAATAGAATCAGGGCGATGGTGTGACCTTATTTTCGTGTGGGCCCCTTAAACCGCTGTGAGAACTCAAATGCTTCTAGCACATTTAATAACAGTTTTGTGTTCAGATTATTGATGTGAATAAAAAGTCACCAGAAATTACAACACAGTCATAGGTAATGGAAACTTTTGAATGCATCAATAAAATATGTTCTTAGTTTAGGAGGGTGATACACGGCGAGAAACATTATGGGAACTACAGCTTGGACAACCACCATGGGCGGTTCTGGGCAGGGGCCAACAGGGGGCAGTGCCCCTGTAACACTGAGCTTGGTCCCCCATGTGGCCACCCCTCCAAAAGGAAGAGCCCCCCTAATAACACATACACAGTATTTAACTCAACAACCGTACTCACAATCTACTGTGATATTAACGGAAACAAATGTAAATCATGGTATTTAATGATGTGCACTATTATTTAGCATAATACATATATATATATATACATACATATAAAAAAGCGATTATCTTTGTCCATTTTTCACCTTGGTTTAATGTTCCCCTCTAACAAAACAACTGGCCCCAGTTTGGCCCCCTCAGTAAAAGTGGTCTATAACTGCCACTGACAACCACAGCTAAGAATTGAAGGTTGTGAAACACTTTATGTTATTAAGAAATGCACCTCACCTCACCTCCAGCTCACGTTCAGAAGTGCAATGAGATATGAGATATGAGAGTGTTCTCAACGACGCTGTCTCCATGTCTCAGCGCTGTGTTCTACCACGCTTGTCTTTTACTCAGTTTGAGCTGCAGCTCTTTGTGGTTATTTATGCGCAAGCTGACATTTACCACAGAAGCTATTTTAATAGGCTAGCTGTGAACCATGTGAACTCAACAGTTGCCATTTTTTCGAGGTCTCCTCAGCGGAGTCTTCAATCATGCTTCACCAAAACCTTTACAGCTGGGTGCATGTTAGAGCAGCCATTCAAACCTGACCCCTTTTACTGACATCAATGTTTTCTGATGTCTTCTCCAAATGCACCTTCAGTAAATTAAACACTATTTAATTCATTATACTCGAAATGAATAACAATTTAGTTTTAAATGTGTCTGTCTGAAGTAGTAACTCTTACAAGTACATATTCAAAGTAGATTTTTAACCCTTCAATAGGGATTAAAGGGACAGCTGTGTCTCAGTGGTAGAGTCGGTCTCTCAACCAGGAGGTCAAGGGTTTGATACCCAGCTCCTGCAGCCACACGTCCAATCTGTCCTTGGGCAAGACACTTAACCCCAAGTTGCTCCTGCTGTTAATACTTGTTTGTAAAAGGGATCTTGAATAAATACAATGTCATACCTGGGGTTTTGATGAGTGATGGCATTCTCTGGGTCCTTCTGGACTCTTTCTCTACAATACCTGCAGCAGAAGAGGTTAGAGTGATGTTAATGTCAATCTACATGACAACAAGCATTGCTTCAGCTGCTTCGTCAGCGGCATATGAATTTGTATGAATGGATTAATTCACACTGATGGACACTTGACATTGCAACCTCTACCATCAGTGTGTGAATGTGTAAGCGTGACCTGCAGTTTAAAAGTGCTTTGAGTAGTCAGAAGACTAGGAAAGTGCTATACAAGCTCAAGTACATTTACCATTTTACAATCGCTACTTTTAGAGCTTACAAATATTTCACTACAAAAGAAAAACTGAAAGAGTAAAGTTTAAAAGTTTGATATTTCAGTCTTCTACATAACAAAAGATTCTGACTTCATTTGACTCACCAGCTCTTCTTTTCTTCCAAAGAATAACAATAACAATCACTGTGATGACCACAGTAGATCCACAACCAGCGAAAACCCAGACAAACGTCCAATTCCACAATTCTTTAGTATCCGGAGGACTTACAGTCGGACCTTCACAGCCAAAACAGTTTTACAACAAGAAAAAGAGAACCATTTGAGTATATCATGCATTGATATTAATATTGGTCTAGCTTTCATTTAATTCCCAGGTGCTGTCTTATTTGAGGCCGCAGTAATACCTGTATCTTAAAAGCACACAAGCACAAAAACATTAAAATGTACCATTATCTTTGAACATAAGTGAAGAAGCATTGACTCTGTAAGTGTCTGACTTTTAACAAGGAATGTTTTTTATTAACCCAGAGTGTTTTGGGCAAAAAGTGGAAAAGACAAAAATCCCAGATGGTTAATGTCCTTCTGTGTACAAGCTCAGTCATAAATGCCCAGATTTACAGTCACTCTGCTGTTAAAACATCACTATTGTACATGATGTTGTCGGGTGACAGCTAGGAAAGACTGGCGGACAACTTGAAAAGACCAGTTGACAGCAGGACAGACTGCAGCAGGAGTGGGCGGCTAGTCACCCTACCCACTTGCAACCTGGAAGCCCCAGGATGCACCCTTCTTGACTACCAAGCAGAACAAAAGTAAACAACCCGAAGGCCCTCCGAGAGAAGATGGGCCTACCAGGACGGAACAAGAGGTAACGACAGGAATGGAAAACCACAATGAGAAAATCCTCCGGAAGTGTTTTTGCGGATGGGAGAAGGTGACATCAGGGGATTACACATCCATCAGGGGTAGATGAAAGGCAGACAGACCAACGACCTCGCATTGTGCAAGCAGTTCAGACGATAGGGACCCAAAGCCAGGATTGCAACCACAGTGCAACAGGACCCAATGGAGCTGGAATGTTGGAAGTAGCAGAAAGAGGTCCTGTGATGGAGAAGGTACACAGCATAGATGAGGACACAGGCCTACCAGTGGCACGGCCCACTAGTCTGATAGCAAAGCAACCAGGGAGACACATCAAGATCAAGAGGCCAAAAGTGAACGAAGTTGCAGAAATTTGATACAGACTTGAGCCACCTGCTGGAGCTGTCCTTGAGAGGAGGAATGAAAAGCAAGTGAAGTGTCTTAAATATCTAAGACAGAGATAATATACTGCTCTTTTAAAGTTGTGTAACACACACATCTGGAAAGAATTTGTATCTGACGTGGTATAGGAGTCCCCTCAAGTTGACTGTTTACCTTAAGGTGTTTTGTAAGAGAATTGCCAAATATGGATGTGTTACATGATGTTTTTGAAGTCCCATAACGACAAGCAGATGTTCCAATGTGGGGTTTGTCCATAAATAAGACTCTCATCCTATGTTCAGGGGAGATCACTTTTGGCTTTGGGTCTTCCGCCAGGCCGAAACATGAGCCTGGAGAAGCTGTATCTTGTTTGTCAATAAAATGATCATTATGTAAGCAAGTCAGTGTCAACGGCGAATTTCTTCATCATCAAACATATCAACAACAAGGGAATCCACATCACAAGCTTAACATCTTCAGCAAGAACATCCATGAGGAGTGCAGAGAGAAGTTTGGGGAAATCAGGAGGAAGCAGAAGGATAGAGAGGGACATAGAACAACTTGTCAGAACCAGGCGCCAACTCAGCCAGAACTGGAGGAAAGCTGCACCCGATGAAAAAGTCGGCCTAAAGGAGCTGTGGGACGAGGTCAAACAGAAGCTTGCCCAGCTGCACAGGACCGAGAGGATCAGAAGGAGGAGGAAGAAGAGAGAGAAGAAGAGAGTGGTAAGCTAGACGCCACCAAGGAGGAGGTGGAGCAGTACATGAAGAGCCAGTACAGTGATAGCAGACAAGCTACACCTCGGCTCCCCAGGACATGGCCATGCCCAGTTCCACCAACCTTGCCATTTGATACCCCCCCAGCTAAACTGCATGAGGTGGAAGAGGTTATCAAAAAGGCAAGGTCAGCATCAGCCCCTGGACAGAACGGGATCCCCTACAAGCTGTATAAGAACTGTCCCCAGGTAGTGAAACGAACTCCCATACCATCAACCTGTTCAGAAGCATTGCCTTGTTGAATGTGGAGGGGAAGATTTTCTCTTTCTTAGAGGTTAGAGTGATATCAACATCAATGTACTTGACAACATGGGACATTTCGGGCTTTCTTTGGATTTCAAGCATGGAAAAACCTCCTCTCTTGTTGCTGATGGAGTGGACTATAAAACTTTGATGATAAAACCCGATAACTGGAACTGTTAATAACTGCTATGTCGCTATCCAAAAGTGGATTTATCTTAATTTACTTGATCCTAATCCTGACAAAACTGATTTATAATTTTGATTGGACCAGATACCTTCACCACTGAAGTTGATCAGTTAATTGGCTCGTTTCAACCAAATATCAAATCTTGGTATCGTCTTTGACCAACGTATGACTTGTTTAAAGGATAAATCAGGAGTCTGTTGGACTTGAATGTCTGAAAAAATTATGTTTTAACAGGAGTCTGAAGTTTAAGTAAAATGTGGGACTCTAGTTTTATGTGACAGTGCTAGTTAGTAAATGATGGTAAAAGTGAAAGCAACACTGAAATATGCAGTAGGCTATACTCACCTTGATCAGCAGGTGAAGTTACAATAGAAACTGAGGTTGTCAAAGTGCTGAGACTCTCCTTGTTTGAGTTTGGCTCACCTAAAAATAAAATAAAATGTTTTGTTCATGACATTTACACCACAGGGTTTTTCTTCTGCTGATCCAGCTTGAAGACAGATTTACTTACTTTGAACAGAGACAGAGGAATATTCACTTTCTGGAGATCGAGCATTTCTGTCTCCAATCTGAACAGTGTAAAAACATTTCACTTTGACCTCAGCAGGTGAACTCTGATGATCCATCTTCAGCAGCTCACTTCCTGTCAGTGTCTGCAGACAGGAAAATGTCCTCACAGTTCCTCCACTTAAAGTTTGGTAATAACACTGAGACACATATGATGGAGTCTGACACTTCAGTGTGACTGAGTCTGTCTCTTTGATCACTGCTGGATTCACCATCAGGTCAGGTTGAGGAAGAGCTGAAAATATGAGCAAATAAACTTGAATAAAATAAAACCAAATATAATTACAACTCTAACTCTTCAACCGTATCATATATTGTCCACCAGTGCTCCCATTAGTATGTTTGTTTTGGTGTTTTTAGGATTAAAAACAATAGAAACAACAGATTGTCTTACATAATCACACTCAAAATAATTATTAAAACACACAAAACAAATGTAGCTCAAATACATATTAAATCTGCAAAATATTTTTTATTCAAATAAATCACTTGACAAATGTATACTGGTAGAGGATGCCTTTTGACAATATTCCAACTCTTTAAATCAGACTGCTTGAACTAGTTTGTTTCTTTCTGATGATGTAACAAAATATATGAATATTGACAACACTTGTATTACTCACTTTGTATGCGGATGGAGACTGTGTCACTTTCTGGAGATGGAAAATGTTTGCCTCCACTCTGAACAGTGTAAAAACATTTCACTTTGACCTCAGCAGATGAACTATGATGGTCCATCTTCAGCAGTTCACTTCCTGTCAGTGCCTGCAGACAGGAAAATGTCCTCACAGTTCCTCCACTTAAAGTGAAGTACTTACACTGAGACACATATGATGGCGTCTGACACTTCAGTGTGACTGAGTCTGTCTCTGTGATGACTGTTGGATCCACCATCAGGTCAGGTTGAGGAAGAGCTGAAAATATGAGCAAATATATTAGAAAAATATAAATGTAAACATATTCACCATTATTGAAACAGTATAATACATGATCCACCAGTGCTCCCATTAGTATGTTTGTTTTGGTGTTTTTAGGACTATAAACGACAACAGATTATCTTACATAATCACTCTCAAAATAATTATTAAAACACACAAAACAAATGTAGCTCAAATACATCTCAAATCTGCAAAAGCTTGTAGCAGTGCAATGTAAGTGACAGAGAGCCTGATGCTGTGAATGAGCGGAGCAATTAATAACAGTATCCACATATACATGAAAATTTGCATTGGTAACTTTGTGATCGATACTGTTAATATTGAGTGTGAATAACAGTGGCCTCAAGACTGAACCTTGTGGCACACCTTTCTTTTTTTACTTCAACAAGTAATGCCTTCAACCTGCAGACATTGTAATCTGCTTGATAAATAATTTACAAACCAACATACAGATTGTTTGGAGAGTCCAATAGTGTGCAGGTGATTGTTTTTTGTAACATCAAGTAAAAACTAAGGAACAATATTATTGTTGAAATTCTAAATATTGATTTTAGGTTTGGAGAGACTTTGCTGATCTTAACAATATTTGATGGGGATTCAAACTTTTTTTTTAAATTAATAGATTTATATGTTTAAACTATGACTTTAAAGATTTATTTTTTACATACATTATTCTTTCTGTGAGTTATTACATACTGTAGGTTTCATTGAAGGTGTTAATTCAGCAAGAGCTTAAGTCTGAATTCAAACCCCAGCTCTCCCACAATGTTTGCTCTCCCATTAACCCTTAAATGTCTGCTGTTCTTATAAGCTACCAAGATGGCGCTCCCCTGTGGGCGACATAGCGTAGCTCTCCAAGTCAAGTTTTTCGTAGTTTTGGTGTTATTGTTTTCTTTTCTTTCGTTTAATGTGCGGTATGTTAGGGCTAGTGTCAAGTATGATCGGGCGACACTGATACAGCTTGGTGAGATGAGTCACAAAGGACATTTTAACGTCAAACTGCTCGACTCCTTCCCAGAGCTACACCGTCATGCCGGAACAACGCAGGGCCAGGCCGCAGCCGGGGGTTTGCCTGGCACCCCGAGACCAACACTGGTAGAGGATGCCTTTTCTTTCTTTCAAAGGTCTTTTTATTGAAATATAATAACAGAAAATAGCTTTTACTGTACAGGGAAATATTTTTCTTTTCTTCCCCCCAACCTTAACAAAAACACTTCTACAGGCCGCAAAACATCCAAACATGAGACAAGCCTAATCCAGACGACAAATAACCACAGCTGCACCTAGAAGTCACATTCTGAATAATAAAAGGTCAAGCTCAACAAGAAACACATCTGTACAGATAAGGGCAGTCCTTCCTGCGAACTCTAAAGGAAGCCGAGTTGCATTTAAGAACTATGTTGGTATATAGGATGCAGTAACACACCCCAAACTAACCCCCCCCACCCATCAAAATACTTGGAAGAAAAAAAGAAAAAAGAAATTAAAGAAAATAAAGAAAATAAAGAACATTACAAAAATAAATAAATCATGTCAAGAAAAATTAAAATAAGGAAAGGAGGATGCCTTTTCACAATATTACAACTCTTTAAATCAGACTGCTTGAACCAGATGATTATGTAACAAAATATATGAATATTGACAACACTTGTATTACTCACTTTGTATGCTGATGGAGACTGTGTCACTGTGTGGAGATGGAGCATTTCTGCCTCCACTCTGAACAGTGTAAAAACATTTCACTTTGACCTCAGCAGATGAACTCTGATGATCCATCTTCAGCAGCTCACTTCCTGTCAGTGTCTGCAGACAGGATAATATCTTCACAGTTTCTCCACTTAAAGTTTGGTAATAACACTGAGACACATATGATGGAGTCTGACAGTTCAGTGTGACTGAGTCTGTCTCTTTGATCACCGCTGAATTCACTGTAAGTTTAGGTGGAAGACGAGCTGAAAATATAAACCATGAAAATGTTTTATCAAACTCAAACATAAGCTGTATATAAATGTTTAAATTCTTCAGTAGTGCAGCGATCACAGCACAGTTAGACATGAACGATGAGAGATCACAGACTGACCTTCTGTTTGAATCCCATTAAAGACATCTGTTTAAAAAACACAGTGAAAGTAAGGTGACTACACATAATAATAACTCCAAGAGTTCACACATTTCAACTCCTCCAACTATTCATTTATTTTCATCAAAAGTAGAATCATTAACTGAGACAAAAATATATTTTATTTGTCACAACTGGCAGAACACACAAAACACAATATCACCGACTCAAAGCTTAATCACTGATATGATGATATCTGACATGACACATTAACGTCATGTTTCAATCTGCAGAGCTTTATAATAGTCCACAATAATACTGAATAAATCAATAAAGGTTTTACTTACACATGAAGAAGACAAACAGCAGACGTCCGGCCATGATGAAGCTGAACACTGAGACTGTACAGAGGATACGTGTGTGTCTCACTGTATGGACTTTGTGGTTAATGAGACCAAGTTCTTAAATTAGATACATGAGAACGACAGCTATCAGAAATGAAACCCACTGACAGACAAACCACAGCTTAACATTTAAAGAACCATTTTTAAAAATTGAATATCCCACATTGGAAACTACCATCTGTAGAAAGATGACATAGTGTATGTAGGTGAAACATATGCCTACAGTACACTTCATTAACACACTGAGCTTGTTCATAGTCTGCTCTCACTAAAGACAAAGTTTGTTTCATTTTTTCTTCATTGTTAAAACAGTTTTTTCACACATTTGCCTCCTCGAGCTTTATGTTTCTTCTGGTTGTTCAAAGTGAGTGATCTAAAGTTTTTAGTCATTGTATGAACAATATTTTATATACAGTTGTGATAGATTTGTGTCTCAGTATATTGTAGTTTGTTTTCATTTATTTTATTCTGGTCATTGCAGTGAACAGCTGTTCAAAAAGCGGTTTCCTGCTAAAGAATCTAATTTACAAGAGTGTCCTGACCAAGAGGGGCAGCAGCACAACAAGCATGTTACAGACATAAAACACAGAGTAATTACAAACACAGATCAACATGTCATTAAAGAAAAGTCATTATTTAAAGCATCTCGCATTTTCCTCCTACACCTTCAATCCACTTTAAAAATGATAAAAAGAGAGACCAGCTCCCCAAGACAAAGATCATCCTGAAGGAGATTCCAGCCAGCAGGAGCAGCGTACCTGAGACTCCTTTTCCCCGTTTCAAGACACAGTTTGGGGACAGATAACAATACGTTTTGTGACTGGCTCGTAGAGCAAAGACCTCAGGCTAGGTCACACTGGTCATCTGTACCGTGCTGTACCCAAGCATGATTGCCCACCTGCTGCGCCATTCCCACGCTGGCCGGCACGGCCCGCGGCCATACGGGCTTAAGCACTATTACCTCTTGTACATAACGTCGTAATACAACACATGCGCGCTTTATGTTATTATGAAGCGTGCTCAGTTTACAAACAGGCGGACGAGAGAGAGAGAGAGAGAGAGAGAGAGAGAGAGGGAGAGAGAAAGAGAGAGAAAAAGAGATACACAGTTGAGTCCGCGTCAGCACATCAGAGAAAAACACAGCGCATAACAGATACTTTAGTGACTTTGCAGCTTATTTTAAGCCATTTTAATCAGACACAGCAATAAATAAATAAAAATAGACACGCGGCCGAGTCCACAGGCGAGTCCGCGGCCGCACATCGGAGAGCAACACAGAGAGCATGACAGCTACTTTGTGTCTTATATTGAGTCATTTTAGTCAGATACAGACATGAAACTCTGGATCTCTCCATAATGAAGGCTGTCAGCATACCCACGTGCTTGAGCTCGTGCATGAAGTGTACCGTGCCGAAGCACACCTCTCCGAAGTGTGCCAAAGACAAGGAAGTGAACCGTGCCTGAGCACGATATGGAACGGCCACACTGGTCAAACGAACTGGACTTTAGCGTTGAAGCGTGCTTGGGCACGGTACAGATGGCCAGTGAGACCGCGCCCCTAGCTTCCAGTCCTTTTCGCATGAATACAATTACACAAGTATGAGGGAAGCAGGTTAAAGGGATACTTCACACATTTGTATTAATCTTTGTATCATTAGAAACCTGGTAGTATTTTTGAATGGTCGTGCATCCCACCCTCATTTTCCCCTGAGATGGGAAATCTTTGTATTTATAAGTCTGAAAAGGAGCTTCCAGTGACGCACTGGAAGCTGTTGTGGTTAGCGGGGTGAAACTACAATGCTAGTTCCTCATATTTTCGACCACTGAAGCTACAGACCAATCACAGATCAATGGGTGGGAACTCACGCCCAGAATCTAAACTTAACGTCCACCATATTGCTTGGAAGCTGTGCTAACAGGCTCTATGGAGAAAGCTGATAATGGCGAAAAAATGAGCCGGGGCCGGCTCGAGCTGGGGTGGACTGGTAGTGTCGGTGCTCTCACTGTTTGACTATGGACACAGACATAGAGTCCGTTTTCTGCCAGGAATTTCCAAGAGAAATCTCGGAATCTGTTAAGGAAATGGTCTTATGTGTTGAAGTAAATGTCTGTAAATGTTTTTATTACTATATTTTTACTGCTATACTGTATATTTAGGAGAAACTGTAACGATCAAATTTCCCTCTCGGATTAATAAAGTATTTCTGATTCTGAACTAGAGGACCTTAGTGGGAGTGGCCTGCGGTGCTGTGCATTCTGGGATTTGGTGTCTTTCATCAACATGAGCCAAAAAGACACTTTCTGCCTTTTCACGGCCAAGAAGGCACCAACTTCAAAATGTATTTCACATTTCTACATATATGACCCAATGTCAATACAGATTCATGTTTCAACGGGTGAAGTGTCCCTTTAAGTATAGCCTTATAAATAAGGACATGCCAATGAGTTTGTCTACTCATGGACAATGCAGGCCAGCCGCTTGATCATACAGTACAATCAAATCATCAATCAAT